TTCTTCTTCTTCTTCTTCTTCTTCTTCTTCTTCTTCTTCTTCTTCTTCTTCTTTCTACTCCTTTTCCTACTCCTCCTCTTCTTCCTATTTCTCCTCCTCTTCTTCCTACTCCTCTTCCTCCTTGTCCTCGACCTCCTCCTACTCCACCTCCTTAACTAGTTGGTTTATCATTCGTTGCTCCTCTGTCTTCCCCAACAGATGTGAACGACAAGTTACGAGGGATCCTGCTCAATAAGAAAGAAGCTTTCTCCTACTTGACCAAGAGAGAGGCCTCAGGCTCCATCACATGCGAATGTTGCTTCAACCAGTGTCGGATATTTGAGCTGGCTCAGTACTGCCGTCTGCCAGACCATTTCTTCTCCAGAATATCCAGAACCGGAAGGAGCAACAGTGGACATGCGCAGTTGGAGGACAACTTTAGTTAGACATGTTGAGGGCGTAAATGCTTTTAAAATTTTTAATTTGGTGATTATTATTATATAGGAGGAGTCCACGTGGTGTCAGATTTAGCGAGTTTTTTCCACGTGTTTGACTAAAGTTTCCAGATTTATTTCATACCAGCGATACCCGCAGGAATAGAAGGTCCCCTAAGAAGCTGAAGGCATTATTGATAGCATTATCTTTAATTTGAAGGAAGGGGGGGGGGGGCAATGTATCTTTTTTGTAGTCGCACACTCATAGCAGAAGAAATAAGTAGGTCCTCAGAATTACTTTTCTAAATGCTGTCATGACATATATCAGATGATGTTTGTTTGTAATTATCAACAATACGTAAGATTGTTGTCAAGATTCCGTCATAAGATTTATACAATGACCCTTGAAAAAGACAGCTCTTGAAGGGTTTAACCTAAAAACTCGTGATGTTTATGTAGGACATGTTATTTTCATATCATTGGTGTCGCAAGCATTTCACTTACGTCCGTTTTGGGGGTACTTTTTACACCAGAGAAAAAACTGCAAGTTTTCGTTGTGTTATTTCTATTAGGAATCATGAAGATCAAGAAAATTGTTGTAAGTGTAAGCCTTGACCATAGCATTAAACTGTACTTTGGTAATGTTGAAAGCGGTATCTTTGGTAAAGTTTTGGGAGGGTGTTTGAAATAGACTTAAGTAGACCTAGATTGCTTGCGACAGCGACGATATTTCTTTCTTTTGTAGTATTCAGACAGGGGTTAACTTGATATGACGGAGTATACAAGGGTAAAAAGATAATGACATGCAAAAGGTTTTACTGATACTATATTTCACAGCAGGGTGCCCCTGCTAATTTAATTTTTAAAAGTTAATACATGTATTATCCAAAACTCAGTCTTGCGATATTTTGATTTTTTTCCTTTGAGCCTTTAATTAATTGCTTTTTTTCTGAAACCACACGAAACGATATAGGATGACGGGACTGTTTAGAGAGGGCGCCATCTTTTGTTGTTGACGTCAGAACTCTTTCAAGTGCTCCTGTTCCCATACGTTATACCAGTGTCTGAAAGCTTGGTTTATTGGTTTACTGTTTATTTTCCGCACGTTTGTTGTGTCTTCTTTGCTGTAGAGAGAAAGAATCTCAATCCATTTATTGTTTTTAAATCGAGCTCAGGTGTTTTGTACTATTTCATTTATTGAGGTCAGGGTCTTAAAAAGAACGCTCGCTACTCACAGAGAGTCAGTTCGACTCAAGCACAGAGAAAACTAACCGTGGTGTAGCATTTTGCAACAGCAGACAGAAGACGTGAGTTCGATTCCAGTGTGGGGAGGGTATTTTAAATCAAACTTTTCCGTCTTTTAACGGGCAGGGTCTAAGCAAACCGCAAGTTTACTCTTTTTTTTAAAATGATGACCGAAAAATGTTATGACCATGACAACAAAAAAAGGGCTCTAGATTTGTTTCTGAATTTGATACTTGCATCTCATACTCGCCTATCATAAACAAATATAAATGTTTTAAAAAGGACTTTTTGAATTGAAATGGCACATTTAACAGCCCATTAACATGTTGGCGGTATTAAAACAGCACAAGTGAGTTGAATCTACTTCTGCATCATAAAAATCGTTGATACGCTCTCTCTTTTTCTCTCTCTCTCTCTCTCTCTCTCTCTCTCTCTCTCTCTCTCTCTCTCTCTCTCTTTCTCTCGCTCTTTCCCTTTCTGTTTGTCACTTTGTCTCTGTCATAGACGAACCGTGCACACGTTTGTAATTAACTACGCTCAAAATAATTAAGTATTGTGTTCAAAGAATGTTAGAGAAACGAGAAAATCTGTCCTCGGAATTATTTTCATAGAAAAGAGAGACTTTTCCCACTTCGAAATTTTGTACGAGTTGTTATCTTCTTTGTGAGAGGCGTGAATGAAGAAAGAGTACATGAAACAAATGCCGTGCATGACATTGTAATAAAGTCATTATCTATTATGTCATTCTATTACCTTACCGTAGATCCTTTACCTTTCACTTGGGGCTGGGACTTTCACAATTAAAACATTCGCTTTCATACTTCACAACAAAAGGTCAAAATTTACGTATATTTGTTGTTCAGTGGGAATGAGATTATACTCCTCCCGCTGGCGTGCAGAGGACGTTAGTTCGATTCCAGTGTGGGAAAGTTATTTTAATGAGTACTTCAGTGTATCTGATGGGATGCTGTGACGGGCACAGAAAATGATCTAAGTTGTGCTGACATGGAGACGAAACGTTTACAGTAACTTAAGTTACATCTTTACCTTCCTCCCTTATTCAATTCGTATTCCATTTTTCGCGTTAGTCCACAGAAAAAGGAAAAGGGCCAGGGCGGAAGGAGGGTGGGGGGAGATGGACGAATCTGATCTCAAACAGTCGCTACTGCCTTTAACTAGAATATTTTGACAAACACCCTCTAAGCTAAAAACAGACCTTTTCTCTAATCTAACCCCGTTGCATTTTTACTCTTTGGTCTACTTTTTTCTTTCTAAAATGCTACCTACAATAGCTAGCTACAGTAGCTTGAACAGTTCTCGTCCTGGCTACATTGAGATTTCGTGGCATAATAATAACACAAGGATTTTATGGGAGGATGAGAGAGAACGGGTGAGGGAGGGGGGGGGGGCTCTCGTAAAATAAATGTTTTCTCCAGAAGGAATTGTGTCGTGGGTAGAAGGTTGCTCTTTGGAAGAGAGACGACCTTCCAGTTTCGCTTGATACTTTTTTGTTTCGATGTAATGTTTGAAGTATCTAAAAAAAAATAATTTTAAGCGAATTGCCAAAAGTCCTCCCCCCCCCCCCCCCCCCCCCCCCCAAAGAATTTTCCCACATATTCCCACATCCCAAAAGTGAATATGTCCAACGGTATTCTTATTATTTTTAATTTGTTTCCAAGTGGTGTTCTCTTAACTCCAGAATGTGAGATCCCGCTTCCAAAATGATATAAGTCGTGTCGATAGCGGCGTAAAACATTCTATTACTTTTCCAAGCTAAGATGTGTTCGCGTGTATTCACAGCACACACATTATCATTTCAAATGTCCATCTAGAACACCCTGTGTCATTTGTCGTTTATGTGTTTTTTGCCTTTACAGGGTTCTGTTTTCCGTTCATTCTCTAAATGTTAATTAATTTGTCTCTAATCATAATGAACTGAATAAATACACTGCAATACCGCGTCATCACTGACAGCATTCATAACGCAAGTTACAAAATGATGCATAGTTCAACATTGTTTCCCTTGTTAAGTTCTGCCACCGAAGACCACAACACAATATCTTGCACTTCGCAGAATTGTCCTTTACGTTTTTTGGTTACAGAAGTCGCTGGTCATTCATGTTTATCTGGCCATCACATTGTTAGCTTCATAGTTGGTATGATCTGACGAACATTAAAATGTGGTGGAAAAAAAAGTCACCGAGCAATTGAAATTTTTCTTTATTCAGAGTTTTGGGATGTATCGTTGTCTTTTTTCTATGACCCTACAGTAGTTTGACCTCTCCTAGGTGATGTCGTTCTTCCTTCGATTTGTCTATTTGCTTATCTGTCTACCTTTTCTTTATTTCTGTTGTTTCTAGTATCGCTACATTTTTGGCCGTTCAGTTCCTGTTTTATTATGTCCACCCCCTTTCTTTCTGTGGTCTCTCTCCTCCCACCCACCCCCACCCCCCCTCTCTCTCTCTCTCTCTCTCTCTCTCTCTCTCTCTCTCTCTCTCTCTCTCTCTCTCTCTCTCCTCACCTCCCCCTCCCTCTTCCCTCTGGTTTCCTCTCTTCTCCCTCTAGATAATAATACTTTATGATTTCCCGGTATCTCGCATATATTTACAAAAAGACCCTTTCTCAAACACACTTGCTCACTACCATAAACACCTGCACACATGTACACACAAACCACTCGTTGAAGTTCAGGCATACCTTTCTTTCTCTCTCGAAGAGTGACGCTTTATTTTGATCGAAGAAAACTCAAATCAATAGGTATATTTGACGAACCTCGGAAGCAGCAATATGAGAAATAAATACCTCCAGACGATATATATGACATTGCCCTATTCATAACTACGTACGAGTGAATGTAGGTCACGAAGATGGGCCTCTGAGGAACAAAGGTTGCACGCGAAAGACGAGAGTTCGATTCCGGCGAGGGAACATTTTGTAATTGTTTCATACCACAAGTATCTCCGTCTGTCCGTTGGGAAGCTGTATCCCACTCAGCCCACGTTATCAATCATGATAGGCAGCATCGAAAGTAGAGCTGGGCGAAGAATCAATTCCGGAACCGATTCCCACGACTAATGCAACGGAAGAAAAGTTCACTTTCACGAAATCCAACGGTTACCAGTTACTTAAGTCATTAAAATCTTTTTTTTAAAAAGAATTTATCTTTGAAAGATAAAAGTTGATGCTTCGGAGTGTTCCGAGATCAAGGTTATCCTAAATCCTGAAGATGTTCGGAGCCAACCAGGTAACCACGGGAAGAAATCACATCTTTAGAAAGTAAGTAATTGGGATCGGAGTCGATTCCTACGATTCCTTGCTTTCACTAACCGGGAACCTAGCCGCCCAGCACTAATCGAAAGAGCCCCCCTAAATACAAATAGGCCTAATGTGATATAAATTGTGTCTGTGGGAGGTGTAAAACTTTTTTATCCCTTTCAGTCACAGATTCCTTTAACGCTCATAACATGTTGTAATGGGTTGGTTTTTTTTACTTCTATGTCCAGTAAGTGTTTAATTATACGATATTATTAACTTTATTAATACTGAACGCCATCAAAGATCCCATACAGCAAAATCGTTCACTCGGCTGAAAAAAAATCGTTCCAATCCAACTTAAATCTGAGGGTGCTCGTCTATCAGTATCACTGTTTTCAGAGCTTCCTTATGTTTCTCGGGAAGTAAAGTAACCCATCTGTTAGTTTTAAATACAATTTTATTGTTGTAAATTCTTACTGTTAGATTCTATCAGCGTTTCGTTTAGCTGAGATCTTTTCAACAAAGGCATTATGGCCTCTCACGCCCATTTAAGTTAGCTAAACATCGAAAATGTTTGCCCTTGCCCCGTGAAGGTGAATTATGACAAAAGCCAACAATTTGCAGTGGAAGGTCTTAAGTTCCCTCGTCTTTCTTCACAGTAGTCTTAGCAACGTTTTAGAAAATACACGATTGCAGACA